TTCTTGGCTCTAACTTGATTTCCTGGAATGCTCGCAAGCAGGCTACGGTGTCTCGCAGCAGCACGGAAGCCGAATACAAAGCAGTTGCTGATGCGACGGCTGAGATCATTTGGGTTCAGTCCTTGCTGAGAGAGTTGCGAGTCCCTTCAGCTCGTTCTCCAGTGCTTTGGTGTGATAACATTGGTGCTACATACTTGTCATCTAATCCAATGTTTCATGCTCGGACAAAACACATTGAGGTTGATTATCACTTCGTTCGAGAGCGTGTTGCACAGAAGCTGCTTAGCATCAAGTTCATATCATCAAAGGATCAACTTGCTGACATCTTCACGAAGGCTCTTCCACAACCACAGTTTGTAGGCTGCAGGCGCAATCTTAACTTAGTCTATACTTCAGGCCACAGTTAAGATTGAGGGAGGGTGTTAGACTGTATATGTATACGTAGGCTTGTTTATACGTAGACTTGTGTATACACCTTGTACTTGTACCCTTTGATACTTATATATAATGAGATAGCTGCACCCCAAGGGTGTCGAGCAGTTGCCTCAATATCCTGGTTTAACACCGCCGACGCCGAGGCAGAGCATGACGAGGTGCTTGACGTACCTCCTGCGCCACCGCAGGGGTGTCTGGTCGAGGAAGACCGTGTCGAAGAGGCCGCCCAGGCTGTGCGTGACGAGGACGACCGGCTTGTTCCCGTTCCTTTGGCTTGCGCGCTCCATCAGGTGCCTGAGGCTGGAGCTGAAGCCGGAGAAAGCCGGGGAAGCCAGTCCGGGAGCGGCCGGCGCGTACCGGAAGTCATACGGGGCACCGAATAGGTTCTCTCCCTCTCTGTATCCCACGCGTTCCAGTGCCTCCACCAGCCCTTCCATGCACACATTCCTGATCAATGAGCGAGGACTGAAATCATCCATCCCCTAGAAACATTCTTCCATTCACATGCATGGTTGGTATATATCATATGCTTACTTTCGGGCAGGGTCGTCGAAGCCGAAGCTGCGGGTGGTGCCGAAGGCCAAGACGCGGGTCTTCACGCCCGGCACGTTACGGTAGTCGCCGGCGCGGGGGTCGTAGACGAGCCGCAGCTGGTCCGCGTAGCACAGGAAGAGGGAGGGGTCCTCTTGCAGCGCCGTGAAGTTCTCCCACAGCCGGAACCACCCCCACCCTTGCCTTGGGACCCTGCAGCCCGTCGCCGGCGGAGGTTCGTACTCATCGGTGAGCCGCGCCTCCAGCTGGTTGCAGGTGTTGCCTGGCACCAGCACCACAGGGTGGAGGCTGGGCACAGCTGACGATGGTGGAGCGACGAACAAGCCAAGCAGGGCTACAAGGGGCAGGAGACGCTGGAACGCCATTACCGTGGCACGCTAGAGTTTCCTTCTCTTGTGTGCACGCACACGGCATGTCAAAGGTTGACAAGAACGGTGGAGGAGCGACTTGTTTACCACTTCTCTCGTGCAGCCAACACGCGGCGCGCAAATTAGTTTGTTATATGTTACTACCTTATCTCATTGACTTTATTGGCGGACCAGAATTTCGCCAAGACTGGATAGGGCCGAAACTGACAATAAAATTGAGATACGGAATCACATCACATGTAAGCAAAGGATACGAGAGAAAGTACGAATCTTTTCTTCTAAGGCTGAAGGAAAGACGACTACCTATTTCTATATCTATACCTTTATATCTATTTTTTTACCTACTAATAAAATAAATATGTATTCTTAGTCCGTCATGCTATTTTGTAAAAAACCCTGATGTTTCTGACATTAAACCTGCAGTACATATCAAATGTTTTTTAAAATAGTCACATCTTTTAAACCGTAACTCCAAATTTAGCATATTATATATGAAGTTTGAGTAGAAAAATACGTAAAATCTAAATATGATGTTATTTTTCCAGTTAACAATTTAAAAGAAAATACTATCTAGGTTGCAATGTTAATCAACAATGTATTATCCGTCTTTTTTTCATACTGGTACCGATTCAGATTTGGGATGAACACCTCAGCCAAATCAGGATTGGACATCAAATTGAAGATAAATTTGTTAGCGACACCAATAAATAAGGACATGCATGCCAAGAAATAAAAGGACCAAACAAAGATGTGATGTCCGCTATAAAATAAATAAAAGAGAAAATGCAGAGGAGATCCGATAAAGATGAGATGTTGCGTTATTCTCCTATATATAAGAAGAAGAAAAGAGAGAACATGCATGAAAAAAGTAAAAAGGAGGCATACATGGCAAAAAAAAAAGACAAGTTTGATAAGAAATAAATAGTGATGAAACAGAGACCAATAGCTATGACATGTATGGCAAGGAATAGTGATGAAATAGGGGCGCAAGTACCTGCGTCAACATGAGTCCATAAAAAAAATGTTTTTTTCCACACAAAAAATTCTCTTTTTATGATTAAAAAATCATGTATCTTTTTAAAAACTTTCTTAACTCTTCATGTATTTAAGAAATAGCTACAAATTCTCATATTATAGAACATTTTTTGTAAATTAAGAGCGTGTGGTATTTTTTTCTTCCGTTGCAATGCACGGGCCTTTTTGCTAGTTACTAATAAAGAAAATAGGTATCCTTAGTCCGTCATGCTATTTTATAAAAAACCACTTGATATTTCTGACATTAAACCCACAATACATGTCAAATGTTCTTTAAAATACCCATATCTTAGCGTATTCCGTCATCGCATCTCCTCCCTTTGTCCCTCCTCCAAGAAAAGGCGGCTAGGGTTTCTGCCTTCCGTCGGCGGCGCTGCTGATCTCCCATGTCTCCTGTGGCCTTAGGGCCATGGGTGCGCGGTGAATCTCGGCCCTTGCCGGCGGGAGGGCTCCGTTTTTAGGTGCTTCTTCAAGTTTTGTTAGGATTTGTGTCCTGCTCAGGAAGACGAGACGGCGACGGCTTCTTGAAGATGGAATAAGGTTCTCCCCGCCTAGCCCCCGTCCCAATTGTGTGTCTAGTATCGTCGGAGGGCATGTGGAGTTGTGTCTCCGGCGGATCTCGCGAGATTTGGTCGGTGGTTGTGTTTGGTGGATCCGCTCGGATCCGGTCTTTGTTCGTCTTTGTTCATGCGTCTTTAGGTTGGATCCTTCCGCTCTAAAATTCTCTTCATCGGCGGGGTTTTGCTGTTCTAAGGCGTTGGTCCCATGGGACCTTAGCACGACGACTTCCCGACTGTCTACTACAACAAGTTGTGCCCGGCTCCGGCGAGGGAGGGGTGATGACGACGGCGCGCCATCGGCTTGCTTCAGTGCTTGTAATATTCGTTAGGTGGTCTATGAATCTGGATATAATTTTAATTATTTCTGGTATTCATTGTACGATCATGATTGAAAATGAATAGATCGACAGTTTCCCGTAAAAAAAACTCATATCTTGTAAACCGTAACTCCAAATTTAACATGTCATATATGAAATTTGATTAGAAAAATACAGAATCTGAATAGGGTCGGTTCTGAGATTTCGGGGGCCCAGGGCAAGACAACACAAAGGAGCACTGAAGCCACGTTTTTCTCTATCTCAATTGTATCTAAATACTCAATACACCATATTTTATGTTGCATTGTCATGTCGACCGTCCAACAAACGATGGTCATAAACATTCATAGAAAAACTGGTTGCTCTGTTCAATGGTGCTATATATATGCGTGTTTCTATTAGGTTCGTGCCTACAGTAATTATTAGTGTTATCCTATATATTGTCACTTTTTTTTCAACTGTAACTAAAGGCATTTGACGGAATTTTTAGAAAAATGTCAATATCTCCTTTCTTGATCTCAAATTCTCAATCAACTGATATGCAAGTTTATTTTTTGTAATCATCACTAGATGCATACTTTCTAGATAACATCTTGCTAATTAGCAATATGATACGAGAAATTAAAACCATTGTTAGTTTAATAAAAAAACAAAAGATTTGGATGGCTAGAAAATTAGAAATTGCAAGTTATTTCAGCTGCTTACTAGTCAAGAACAAAAATCAGAGCTCGCCTTTTCTGATCCTACCCAATGATAATCCCCAAGTGCAGGGAATCATCGTAGCAATTTTCAAAGGTGGAAGTGATAAGTATGGAGTGTCTAACCCACAAGGAGCTAAAGGTAAGATCAATATTCTCTCAATTCCTATCTGCCACTGATACAACTCTACGTGCACCGAACGTTCGCTTCCAACTAGATACGAGAAATAAAACTACGTTGTGGGTATGAAGAGGATAACTTTGCATGATATCGGAGAGCTAGAATATAAAACTAGGTGCTATTATCATAAAGTTAGAATATATTACTAAATATTATAAATAGCGAGTGTGGAATAATGATGGATCGGTGTGCGGAATTATCCTAGGAAATTGTTAACAAGACCGGTAGTCGTCATTGCAATTTCATATGAGGGAGAGGCATAAGCTAACATAATTTCTCTTCTTGGATCATAAGCATTTATGATTGGAACTCTAGCAAGCATCCGCAACTACTAAAGATCATTAAGGTAAAACCCAACCATAACATTAAAACATCAAGTCCCCTTTATCCCATATGCCACGACCCCCTTACTCGGGTTTATACTTCTGTCACTCAAGCAACCGACTATACGCGAACCATGAGCGTATTGCAACACCCTACAGCGGGAATCCCTCACGCTTGCGCGACACGGAGGGCACAATAGGAAAGCTCCAAAATAAAACATACAACCCGTACCAATCTAGATCATCAATCAACCCAAAGACAAAAGATATCTACTCAAAACATCATAGGATGGTAACACATCATTGGATCAAAATATGTGGCATAAAGCACCATGTTCAAGTAGGGATTACAGTGGGGTGCAGGAGAGTGGACCGCGTAAAAGAGATGAAGATGGTGATGGTGATGGTGATGTTGATGAAGACGATCACCGCGGTGATGATTCCCCTCAAGATGGCACTCCGGCGCCACCGAGAGAGAGGAGAGGTCCTCCCCCTTGTGCTTCCTCCTCCATGGCCTCCCCCTGGATGGGGAGAAGTTCTCCCTCTAGTCCTTGGCCTTCATGGTGATGATGGCCCCCCCGGGATCCTCCTCCATGGCCTACGGTGATGATGGCCCCCTCCGGCAGGGCGCCAGAGAGGGCCTAGATTGATTTCTAGTGGCTACAGAGGCTTGCGGCGGCGGAACTTCCGATCTAGGTTATTTCCCGAAGGTTTCTGTATTTATAGGAGAGGTTGGCGCTGATTTCAAGTCAGGGCGGTCTCCCGGCTGTCCATGAGGCAGGGGGCGCGCCCCCCACCCTCGTGGGCAACCTGAGACTCTTCTGGCCCATCTCTTGCAATCCAGGGGCTTCTTTTGGTCCATAAAAATTCATCAAAAATTGGCACGTCAATTGGACTTCGTTTGGTATTCCTTTTCTGTAAAACTCAAAAACAAGGGGAAAACAAAAACTGGTACTGGGCTCTAGGTTAATAGGTTAGTCCCAAAAATCATATAAAATAGCATATAAATGCATATAAAACATCCCAGATGGATAATATAATAGCATGAATACTTCATAAATTATAGATACGTTGGAGACGTATCAGCATCCCCAAGCTTAATTCCTCCTCGTCCTCGAGTAGGTAAACGATAAAAGAAATAATTTATGAAGTGTGAATGCTAGCAGGTGCACAAGTTTGATCAATGATAATTTCAATCACCTTTCATGATCAAGTAACAAGCTATTCACATCTTAAAGTATAGATCATAAACTTTCTTAAAAACTAACAAACAATGCTCTTAGTGATCAAACAATTGCAATTCATCTTATTTTCAGGAAGGGTCTATGTAAGAGCTTTGGTTTAGCAAATCCCACATACTCAACTATCGTATAGTCTTTTACAATTGCTAACACTCTTGTAATATTTATGGGTTCAAAGTTTTAATCGGACACAGAGAAAGATAGGGGCTTATAGTTTTGCCTCCCAACCTTTTACCTCAAGGGCAATGTCAACAATAATACTTTATGAAAACCTACATCCAAGTGGATATATGTATCCGGATCGCTCCAACACAAAGAGCTTGCCAAAGGAAAAAGTGTAAAACGAAAAGGTGATGATCACCATGACTCTTGTATAAGGGTAGAATATAAAAGTAAAAGATAGGCCCTTCGCAGAGGAAGCGGAGGTTGTCACGCGATTTTAAGGTTGGATGCACAAAATCTTAATGCAAAAGAACGTCACTTTATATTGCCTCTTGTGATAGAGACCTTTATTATGCAGTCCGTCGCTTTTATTTCTTCCCTATCACAAGTTCGTATAAAGCTTATTTTCTTCGCACTAATAGATTATACATATTTAGAGAGCAATTTTTATTGCATGCACCGATACTTGAAGGTTCTTAC